CTTTTTGAGTGTCCTCTCTGCATTGGACGCTGGTGACAGCAAGCTCGATTAGACCTTCAAGTTGAGAAATACAGTGACTCTTTTTTGGAAACATTAAGGAGCAGTCCCCACTCACCTGGGAAGTGACTCCTGAGCAGAGAGTCTGGAAGGCTGAGGAGGATTTAACCAACAGGTGAGGGAGAAGGAAAGGTGTCCTAGGTGGTTGGAACAGCATGGACTAAGGCTTGGCACCGACCCAAGTTAGTTACTGCCCAAAAGAAACCCTGAATTTTGAGTACCTCTTTGTGTATTTTCTGTGGGAGGTGGGATTGCCACAAAATACAGTCAGCAAGGAAAATTCTCATTCATCTTTGGCTACCAGGGAAAGCTATGGAGGAGATGAACTTCGGATTAAATCCAATTTTGCCTCTGACCAGCCATGCGACCTCAGGCAAGTCATGTCACCTTTCGGACCCTCAGTTGCCACACCTATCCAAAGACTCATTCACTGCATCACTCAGTGAAAATCTGAATTCAACGAGATAAATGTGTATGAGGTCCATTACAGGATTTCTCCCCGCTCCCCCACCACTCCAGCAGATTTTAAAATGTAATACATTCTAATCAAACAGCAGCAGCAGTAAATAAACACTTTGAAAAACAAGCAAGTATCCTCCTGTATCTGGAAGATTATTAAGGTCAGGTATTCTACATGGTAGAGGGGAGACAACTGCTGATGTCCATGGTTAGACAACTCAAGGACATCTTGAAAATTTCTTTCTTTTCTTTTATTTTTGAGACATAGTCTCAGTCTGTCACCCAGGCTGGAGTGCAGTGGCACAATCTCAGCTCACTGCAACCTCCACCTCCAGGGTTCCAGCGGTCCTCCTGCCTCAGCCTCCCAAGTAGCTGCCGTTACAGGCACACACTGCCACACCTGGCTAGTTTTTGTATTTTTAGTAGAGTTGGAGTTTCACCATGTTGGCTAGGCTGGTCTCAAACTACTGGCCTCAAGTGATCTGCCTGCCTCAGCCTCCCAAAGTACTGGGATTACAGGCGTGAGCCACGGCGCCCAGCGCAACTTGGAAATTTCTAAAGCCATTTCCAAAGAAATCAATGGCAACGGGTTGAGACACAGCTACTTAGAAGGGTAAAATGTCTATATCTATGTTGGTTTTTTTGAACAGAGAGCAAATTGTACCTGGATAGCATGACATTCTTGTCTTTGGCCTTAAAAGAAAAAAAGTCTTTTCCATCTGCACCAATTTGAAATATTTCCAATGTAAGACTCCCTTTAAATGGATTAGTTCAGTACTTATTCATATGACAGAGTTCATCTGTCTATTAAAAAGACAAACACAGGACTTCATGGTGTTTTTGTTTCTTTGTTTCTTTGGTTAATTGTACAAAATGAGAGATAAATACTCACAAGCGTGATCTGTTTAACAACTGTTTTAACTTCTAGGTTCATCAGAACGCAAAATATAGAATGCCCTAAAAGAGACTGATCAACAGGCACGTAAAATTGCAGTGAAGCCTGGGGTTGGCTTGGTTCCTGCCATCTCTTCAGCTTTCCTATGAGGCGGTCTTTCTCTCCTACTGGAGCCTAGATCTTCAACCTCATAGCAAGGAACCTCAGAAAGGCAAGGCAGCTGATAAAACACTCCTCCATCCTTTACATGGGACATTTTATTTATTATTATTATTATTTTTTTTTTTTTTTTAGATAAAGTCTCGCTCTGTCACCTGGGCTGGAGTGCAACAGTGTGATCTTGGCTCACTGGAACCTCTGCCTCCTGGGTTCAAGCAATTCTCCTGCCTCAGCCTCCCGAGTAGCTGGGGCTGCAGGCAGTGCCACCATACCTGGCTAATTGTTTGTATTTTTAGTAGAGATGGGGTTTCACTGTATTAGCCAGGATGGTCTCGACCTCCTGACCTCGTGATCTGCCCGCCTCGGCCTCCCAAAGTGCTGGGATTACAAGCGTGAGCCACTGCACCTGGCCTTTATTTTTAATTTAAAAGAATCAACTGGCCTTGGTCAACCTTAGGAAGGAAAGCATCAGTTAGGTGAAAATATCTGGGGGAACTCTAAACACGTAGCTGCCTCTTCGCACATTTAAATCAGATTGATTTCAGCTTTTCTTACAAAAAATTCCACATAGTTATTTGGAGAAGTCACTCAAGTTTGGTTCTCTTTTACATAGCTGCATTCAGAGATACTCTACATGAGGCATGTTTAGAAAAAGAGAAACATGGCCAGACACAGTGGCTCGTGGCTATAATCCCAGCACTTTGGGAGGCCAAGGCAGGCGGATCACTTGAGGTCAGGAGTTCAAGACCAGCCTGGCCAACATGGCGAAACTTCTGTTCCCTGCCTCCAGACCCTGTTTTCCTGCCTCATCAGTGCTGATGGGCAGAGTGCTTTGGTCAGGTAAAGGTGAGCAGTACCGTTCTGGGCTGTCCCACCTGGCTGCTTGTCCTTGCACATCTGAACATAGCAGTCAATCAGATGAAGCCACATTTGACACAAGACACAATGCAATCTGAATTTCCCATCTTGGTATTTGATTGGAAGATTAGCTAGTCCAGCTGGTGTTTTAACAGATATTGTTTGTCTGAATAAGAGCTATCTCTAATCAAGAGCGTTTCTTCTGGTGCATCTTTTCATGTATCTCTGGCTCCACGAGCGTATTTCCCCAGTACCATCCTGTCGGAGCTCCTGCAGGTTTGCCAGACATGCAAAGCCAACTTAGCAAAAAGACCCCAACATCGTGGTTTAAATAAGCAAGTTCATTCCTTTCTCCCTTCACACACCAGGGGTGAGTGGTCTGGGGCTCCTGGAGCAGCTGTGCTGTTCTCAACACAGGGCTTCCACCTCTGGGTCCAGGGCAGTTGCTCCAGTTGTTTCCATTTCTAACTGCAGAGAAGGAGGAATGCTAGAAGCAAGTGGAGGGAATCCCCTTCCTTTTAAAGCACGGAGTGAAATTTGCGTGATCAGTTTTGCTTATATGCCATTGGCCAGACCTTAGTCACATGGCCACAGTTAACTGCCAGGGAGGCTGGGAGATGTGGTCTCTGGCTGGGGGCCATGTGTCCTGCCAAAACTTGGGGAGAGAAGAATGCATATTGGGAGTTAGTTAGTAGTCCTCCCTCATAGAGACAAGGTAGAAACTCAAGATCTCCTTGGACCAAGATTCTTCTACCATATTAGTGTTTTTATCAGTCAGTCAACAAACCTGAGCATGGCAGTCATAACAGTAGTTTCAGTGTGTAGAGGCCAACGTTTGAGACCCTGGTTAAACACTTTCCACTCACTGACTCCTCATTTACTCCTCACAAGCCCAGTGAGGGAGACTTTACTACTAATTCCATTTGACAGGTGGGAAAGCTGAGGTTAAGTAACTTGCCCGAGATCACACTGCTAGGAAGTGGCAGGGACTAGTCGAGCTCAGATCTGCCCAAGTCCTCAGTTTCACCCTGTGCCAAGCAACTCACAGTCACCAACAGAGATGAGGTCTTCAGCAGAGGGGCTCAGGAGAGGATTCAGCTTGCTGGTCCAAGGTCTCTAGGTCACTCCAGGGAATCAAAGGGCCCCTGTCGGTCACCTGACTCTGTGAGGCTGCCTTCATCAGAGAGGAGGCCCTCGAGTGAATCAGCAGCTGGGTTCAGTCTTCTGTGTGGCCTTGGTCTCTCCGAGTATGAGTTTTCTTGGGGACAAGAGCAGTCCCTCCCTCACAGGGTTGTGCACAATAATGAGATGGCTGCTTGGCAAAGTTGGCAAAGGTTCCTGGTGCCGGTGTCCCTTCTGGAAAGGAGAGGCTGCTGGGATCATGAGGCGACGGCATGAGGCCAACGCGATTGCAGGGAATGGGCAGTGACTTGCCCCTTCTGCAGCAAAGGGAGAGCCAAGGGTCCACACATGGGGGAGAAGAACAGCACCCAGAGCACCTCATCTGTCCTGGGCCAGGAAAGTGAAGCCTGCTGGAGGCTGGCGAGAGTAGCGGCCAAAGTGCCTGGAAGCCAGGATGTCACCTTTCTGAGCCTGGGCCCTCTTTGTGCTTCAGTGTCCCCATTTGTAGTAAATTCAGGGGCCCCTACAGCTGTGGATTCCAAGCCCAGCTCTGCCCCTTGCTCACTGTGTGACCTGGCGGAGTCACTTTGCTTCCATCAGCCTCAGAGTCCTCCTCTGTCAAATGAGTATGATAATGGCTCTTCTGGTGCATGGATGTGATAAGGAATCAGTGGAGCCCACGTGTCGTGCATGGCAGCCCCCATGATGTGTTGCCATGAGCGGTGTGATGCTCTCTCTGCCATAGCCTGGTACAGTATGGGCCGAGTTGCATTCTGGAGTGTGGATGGAGGGGCTTTGGGTGGAGGGAGAAGCTGATCTCCATAGGATAGGTGAGCATTCCAGGGTCCTCAGCCTCACTAGGGAGGCTGGCAGGTGGGTGCACAGGCTCTCAGGCGATGGGAGAGGTGGGTGAATCCTGGGTGCTACAAACCGAGGGCTCTCAGCACCACCTGGAAAAAGACATCTCAGCTCAGTGGGACCCCTAGAGGGCAGCGGGGGCGGCTAACAGACCTCCAACCCTGTGTTGCTCTGCCTTATACTCCTGACTCCAGTTATGCTTGGTGTCTCCTAATTCTCCAAGTATCCTCAGGGCACCTGGAGAGGAATGGAAGAAAGTGCTGGTGGGGCTGTCCTCAGAATGTGACTTTCCAGTTCCCACTGCCTGTCTGGCACAGAGTAGGTGCTCACTACATACCTGTTGAATGTGTGAAGGGATAGATCAGGGGTCTCTATTGCCACAGACTGGCTGTGTGACTTGGGCTAGTTTCTTGCCCTCTCTGTGTCTCAGTGGTCCCATTAATAGAACCAGGAGATGGGGCTGGATATTCCCACTGAGGCTTCTAGCTCTGGATCCAGGTCTCTCCTACCCCAGTTGCAGCCCCCAACCTCCCTCCCCAATTCCCACCAACAAATCCCAAATGGAGGGAAGGCAAGAAGCCACACAGAAGGGTGCAGAAATGGGCCTTTATTGCCAAGGGCAGGAGAACATGTGTAGAGGCTGCTGTTCTGACTGAGAGGAGAAGGGGCATCTGGGAAGGTCCTTCTTGCGGGACTCAGGCTTTCATGCTGGTTGGATGGTGGCAGCAGCTTCCCAGAGGTAGATGCTATAAGGGGGTGGGGCAAACCACTGGGAACCAATCTAGAATGAGACCACAGGAGGTTAGGACGTTCGCAGCCAGGCTACCCTTACACACAGCTAGCATCCACGGGGCGCTTGATGAGACCCAAGTTGACCTGGATCCAGAGTCCCAGCTCTTTCCCACAATATCCCATGTCGTTTAAGTCCTGGAAGGAGGAACTGGCACCTGTGGTTTGGGGTCTTTCATTGGCACCTGGCACTGACCCATCTTCACTCCCCTCACCTTCCTTCGGAACAATGGCAGATGTAAAAGGATTGATTGGAGGCCACCACTGGAGCCAGGTTCAGGGCTCAATATGTGATCAGAATCATGGATCCATTTGACACCAAGGTTGGGGCTCAGTCTGTGACCAAGATTAAGGCTCAGTCAATAACTGGCATCAAAGCTCAGTCTGTGACTAGGGTCCAGGTTCAGTCAGTGGCCAGAATCAGAGTTCAGTGATAAAGGCTCAGTGTTCAGAGTGTGACCAGAGTCAGGGCCTAGCCTGGGACTGGGGCCAGGGCTCAGTCTATGACTGAGATGAAGGCGCAGTCTGCTAACACAGAAAGAAGGGAAGCCATGCCTGGCTTTTGCTTCACCATAGGCCCCAGCGCATTGGGGCACAGAGCCTCGCTCCTCACCAGCAAGCATCACAGTGGTCCTCATCATTCATCCTCTTCAGAGGTGGGTTTGCAGCTGGGTTTCCTGCTGAAGTTTATCTAAAGAAACAAAATCAGTAGGAGTCCTTAGTCTCTGCCGCTGAAAAATTGAATCGAGACCAGACTCCAATAGCTGCCACTCTCCAGCAGGTCACCTGACAGTTGTGGGACCCCAGGGATGTCACTCCACCTCTCTGAGCTTCAGTTTGTTCTTCTGGAAAGTGGGTACAATGACAGTACCCCCCTACAGGGCTGTTGGAAGGATCCAGTGAGAGCGTGCACATAGCACAGGGTGACTGCCTGAAGGACTAGGGACTAGAGTTGTGGCTATTTTCTTTCTTCTTTTAGAGTTGTGGCTATTTTCTTTCTTCTTCTCCTTTTTTTTTTTTTTTTTTTTTTTGAGATGGGGTTTCACCATGTCACCTAGGCTGGTTTCAAACACCTGAACTCAAGTGATCTGCCCACCTCAGCCCCGCAAAGTGCTGGGATTATAGGTGTGAGTGCCTGGCTGACTTGTGGCTATTTTCATAGAAGGGTCACCTCCAGGGTCTCGACACCTTTACTTATCCCATTTTTGCCCCAGCAACCCCAGCCATGCCTGGAGACCCCAAAACCAAAGAGAACCCCCAGATGTCTGTGGAGGGGAAGCCACAGCTCCCAATTTGCTTAGGACGGTGGGTCCTTCTACTTCTCCAGGGTCCCCTGATGAGAACTGCTTATGGGGTGGGCACAGAGCTCCATGCCTGCCTCAAAAGACCCCCACTTCCCCAGGTTGTGACTTACCAATGACTTGCTGAATGAAATTTACATCCAGGCTGTGGAGGAAGATGTGGATGAGTGGGCATATCTGAGAGAGGAGGAAGAGGACGGTCAGGAGAAGGAGGACGAACAGATCATTCTCCTCAGCTGGGAACAAATTGTTTGCCACTCACAGAGGCTCATTTCTAGGAATCTTAAAATTTTTGCACCTTAGGATTGTATTGTATTGTATTTTTTCTTTTTCTTTTTTTTTTTTTTTTGAGACAGAGTCTTGCTCTGTCTCCAGGCTGGAGTGCGTGGTGCAATCTCAGCTCACTGCAACCTCCGCCTCCCAGGCTCAAGTGATTCTCCTGCCTCAGCCTCCTGAGTGGCTGGGATTACATGCACATGCCACCATACCTAGCTAATTTTTGCATTTTTAGTAGATGGGGTTTCACCATGTTGGCCAGGATGGTCTCAAAGTGCTGGGATTACAGGCATGAGCCACCATCCTTGGCCTTTTTTTTTTTTTTGAGACAGAATCTCACTCTGTTGCCAAGGCTGGAGTGCGTGGTGCAATCTCAGCTCACTGCAACCTCCGCCTCCCAGGCTCAAGTGATTCTCCTGCCTCAGCCTCCTGAGTAGCTGGGATTACAGGCACATGCCACCATACCCAGCTAATTTTTGCATTTTTAGTAGATGGGGTTTCACCATGTTGGCCAGGATGGTCTCAGTCTCCTGACCTCATGATTTACCTGCCTCAGCTTCCCAAAGTGCTGGGATTACAGGCATGAGCCACCATCCTTGGCCTTTTTTTTTTTTTTTTTTTGAGACAGAATCTCACTCTGTTGCCAAGGCTGGAGTGCAGTGGTGCAATCTCTGCTCAATCTCTCCCAGGTTCAAGTGATTCTTCTGCCTTGGCCTCTCAAGAAACTGGGGTTACAGGCACGTGCCACCACGCCTGGCTAATTTTTGTATTTTTAGTAGAGTCAGGGTTTTAACCATGCTGTCCAGGGTGATCTCAAACTCCTGACCTCAAGTGATCTGCCCACCTCAACCTCTCAAAGAGCTGAGATAACAGGTATGAGCCACCATACCTGACCTGAACCTTAGGATTTTAGAACAACGGGATCCCAGCAGTCTTAAATCTGGAAATGCTAGTGTGTTAGAATCCCAAAACCTTAGAACACTAGAACTCTAGGACCTCAAAAATCTACAATCTAGTGTTAACATCCCCATATGCTTAGAAACCTTGAACTTTGGAACCCTGGAATCTAAAGGGTCAAATATCTCATGCTCTTGTGTGTACACGGTTCCCTGCAGATTGCAATTCAGCAGGTCTGGGGTAGGGTCTGAGATTCCTATCAAGCGCCCAGGTGAGGCTGAAGCTGGTGGAGGACCGCACGTGGAATATAACTAACCTCCGGTTCAGTGGGTCACAGATCCACCTGGAGGATTTCTTCTTTTATAAACCCACATTCCTGGGTACTCTTCCACAACGACTGATTTAGAGTCTCTGGAACTTTGGGCCTAGGAATCCTGCACATGGTACTCTGGGTTAATTTTTTTCATTGATTATATGATATGTGTTATTAATTTTCTATTTATGATGGAGATATAAAGTTTATTTTAAAAATAAGTGCTTCTAAGGAAACATATTTAAGTACAATTGTGTTGAAGATGTTAGCTACAAAAACATATTGGTAGTACATGGATATGGTGACTGGTCCAAGTTTGGGACCTGGCAATTTCAGCCAATGTCAGGCCTCTGCCCTCCCCGGCTACCCACCAGGCTGATTAGTAGAGGAGGAGGATCCAGCTGACCTCCCAAGGAGAAGTTTTCACCTCCAAAGGAAGAGTGCCCAAAGGATACAGCCAGGCCTGCAAATTCCCCCACCTGCCCCGCCAGGCCTGGATCTGGACCCCAAGGAGGGGGAGACTCACCTCCTTCAGCAGCAGGAGGGACACAGTGCTTTTCACCGTGTTGATCACAGTGTTCACTAACCTGTTGATGACTTGGCTTTGCCTGGAAAACACAGGGAATTGTTAAAGCCTGGTCAAGTGGGCAAGAGGCAGGGGGACTGGCAAGAAGCTGGGGAGTCAGAGTCAGGTAAACGCCAGGGACATGGAGATGCCTTTCTAACTACAGACAGTGCCTCCCATCCACATGGATCATCCCTTAGAATCCCACATCTGACAGTGGTTCGCCCAGTGCCTCATGAGAGTCTCAGCACAGAGACCTTTTCATTCATTCATTCATTCATTCATTTATTCATTCAACCCATATTTACAGAGTACTAGCTATGCACCAGAAACCTAGCTGGGCCCTGAGGATGCCGAATGAGCAAAATACAAACATCCCCTAACCTGGTACCTAAACATTAAGGGTCCAAACATACCTTAATGTGGGACCTAAACAAATCTTGCCAAGGTTGGCTCCTCCCACCTTCAGCTTTCAGCATAATTGCCACCTCCTCAGGGCAGCCCTTCCTGACTACTTAGCTAAGAGCTTTGCTATCCCAGTGCCCCATTAAAGGTAATGCTCACAGATGTGAACGCAGATCCAGGGCAGCTTAGCTTTCCCTTAGGTAAGCTCCACGAGAACAGGTTCCTTGTGTGCCATCAGCAATTAGTTCTCCAGAGCCCAGAACGGTGCCTGCCTGGCACATAGCAGATGCTCAATACACCATTTGTTTGTTTTTAGACAAGATCTTGCTCTGTCACCCAGGCTGGAGAGCAATGGCACAATCTCGGCTGCAACCTCTGCCTCCTCAGTTAAAGCGATTCTCCTGCCTCAGCCTTCTGAGTAGCTGGGATTACAGGCATCCACCATCATCCCTGGCTAATTTTTGTATTTTTAGTAGAGACGGGCTTTCGCCATGTTGGCCAAGCTGGTCTTGAACTCCTGACCTCAAGTGATCTGCCCACCTCAGCTTCCCAAAGTGCTGGGATTACAGGTGTGAGCCACCGTGCCTGGCCTCAACACATTTTTGGCTGAAAGCATGAATGAAATGAACATACAGTTAAACATATATTGAGAACTTGTGAAAGTGTTTAAAAGGCAAGAGAGTAGACATGTAGGAGAGAGAATAGGAGGAGCCCTGTGAAGACCCTGAAAGATGCAGAAATCTACCATGGTGCAGTGAGAAGAAGGAGCTCTAGGTAGCCAGAGCCACCCACGCAAAGGTCTTGAGCTGGGAAAGAGCGTATTTGAGGCATAGAACAAAGGCCACTGTATCTGGGCACAGTGAGTGAGGGGAGGGTGCGGGGATACAAGGGTGGGCCAGATCAAACAGAGCCTACACGACCATGGGGAGGAGCACTTGGGGCTGGACCACAAGTGCAAAGAAAGGCCCTGGAAGTATCTGGAGCCACAGAGTGGTGCCCTCTCACAGATGTGGGCATGGACCCAGAGCCGCAGGATGGAGTCCCTGAGGCTGCTTGGGAAGACAGCACCCAGCAGGCTCCGGGCTCTGAATTTACATCCTGGCCTTCGCAACTCACATCTGACCACAGAGCTTTTCTTTGGTTTTCAGGGGTCTTTGGGAAACCTGTGTTCAGCTCCCTCAGTGCAGGGTGAGGGGAGCGTCCTCTGCTCATGGCCAACGGGGCTGAGAGCTGAGGACCCAGCCTTGTTCCTGGCCAAAGGCCGAGCAGCCCCAGCCCTTGGCACCTGGATCACTCATCTTCCCCCAGCCAGCAGCCAGCGTCACTCTTTCTCCCTCCACCCTCTGGCCTGAGTCAAACCTATTCTTTCAAACACAGAGCTTAAGATGTAGATTTTGTGGATTAAAAGAGATGAATGATTTAAATGGAGAGGATTAAGTTTTCAAGATCTCCTTTCCAGAAATTTCCACTGGGTGGAGGATGATCTGGGGACGATCTGAAATTAGAGCCCATGGCAGGCACTTACTCTCCCCTCTCCCTCCCAGCTGGAGGCATGAAGGTAAATGTAATTATATCGTTATTATTATTATTGAGGGACATTAAGTAACAATAAAGGGGTCAGTTCTCCAAGAAGTCACAGCAAGCCTAACGTGCATGCACCTAACAACAGATCTTCAAAAGGTATGAAGCAGAAACTGACAGAGTCAAAAGGCGAAATGAGCAAATTCATGATTATGGTGGGCGAGCTCAACACTGCAGTCACAGTAACAGAGAGAACCAGGAGGCAGAGAGGCAGCGTGTTCCAGGCTGTAAGCTAAATATTTGTATTTTCTCATCTGGTCATCTTAGAAGCCTATGAGTAGTTATTATTAACACCCCTAGTTTACAGATGCGAAAACAGGCTTAGAGAAATCAAGTTGCTGATAAACTTACAAGTTAGTAGCAGAGCTGACGTTTGAACCAAGGCCAACCTGACTCCAGAGCTGGAACACTTTCACCACTAGGCCTCCTCCTAGTGTAGGACTAGAGCTGAAATGAGGGGTCCCCAGGTTTCCTTAGAGCCCAGCTCTGCTAAGATGAATGGGACCTTACGCGTTCAGCAAGGAAAGTGAGATGCTGGTTGGGTCATTGGCACATTCTCCCAGGACAGCAACAGGCTTGTGGGTCTGGGGGTCAATTTCAATTTTGACTGCAGTCAGGAGGTCCAAGGAGGCATTCAGCTTGACAACCTGGCCAATGATGGGCCTGCAGGAAATAAGATGCACCGTGAACAGAGTCTAGAAGGGGTCCTTCAGGTTGTCCCGTTGGGTTCCTCCACCTGTGTGGACATGAGTCAGAATGTCTATGTGTGATGTCAACATGACCCGGGTGATAACAACATGGTCCATATCCTCTATGAGATTTCCATGTTTATATCAGGGGCTTCTTCTCCTGGCCACTTGGGTTTAGCTCACATGAATTTTTTATACAACATTACACTGATAAGTAAAACAATAATAGTTAATATTTATTGACAACAATTTATGTGTAGGTACTTAAAAAAGTATTTCATCTGGATTCATTTACAATTCATTTATTCATCACAAGAATGCTGAGGGAAGTGTACTATTCCTATCCCTGTTTTCTGAATGAGGAAACCTTGGTACCGAGAGGCTAAGTACCCAAGACCTCACAGCTAATGAGGGATGGCATCATGAGTGCATGTAGTTTACAGAAGTTCTTTCATACATGCTCATTTCTTGTCTCTCTATCTCCCTTAAAAGTAATTTTTTAATTTTTTGTGAGACAGAGTCTCATTCTGTCGCCCAGGCTGGAGTGCCATGGTGCAATCAGGGCTCACTGCAGCCTTGACCTCTCAGGCTCAAGCAATCCTCTTGCCTCAGCCTCCCAAGTAGCTTGGAATTCAGGCGTTCGTCACCACACCTGGTTGATTTTTACACTTTTTGTAGAGACAGGGTTTCATCATGTTGCCCAAAGTGGTCATGAACTCCTGAGTTCAAGGGATCCTCCCACCTCAGCTTCCCAAATTGCTGGGATTACAGGTATAAGCCACCACTCCCAGCTAAAATTAAGAGTTTAAACTTACATTTTGCACAAACACACACACTTTATTACACACTGTCACTGTGTACTCCTGGGTTTTGCACTGCGTACTAGGCATTTTTCTGTGATGGTCACTGCTATTTAGACAGAATCTTGAGAGACAAAATGATGCTGGAGGAAATTTTGCCAAAGAATAATAAACGTTTCTGTTTTCTCAACTTTTCAAATTTTAGAGCCAGATAAATGTCATGATTTCAAAACTATATTCAATGGAGCATTGTTTTTAAAAGACACTTGGTTATGGCCAAAGTTCCTTAGAACATTTTAAAGGTTGAGATCTTAGACCCAGAAGGCTCCTCTCACTCACAGATTGGAAAACTGAGGCACAGGGTCTCCCAGCAGTGGGAGGAGGTGGCTCATTCCCAGGTTGGGCATCCCTCAGCCAGGCTGAACTGCCTTTCCCAAATCTCAGCTTCTCGCATGTACTCACAGGGTCTGAGAGACGTCCGCAGTGACAGGGAATCTCAGGTTAAGCCCTTTGCCATCATCAGTCGGTTCAGCTTTGACATCCAGGATGAGGGAGTTGCTGATTTTCAACCTGCGTGAAACCCACAATTCACCCTTGTCACTCCCCGTGTCAGCCACTTACCAAGCACTTCCCTGTGCCAGCCTAGAGCTGAGCGTTTGGACCTCATCACCCTTGCCTTCACTATAGCCCTGCTCAGTGGTTTGATTCTCTCCATTTTATGGTACAGCACCCTGAGGCTCAGGCTGGTGTGATTTCCCCCCAGATTCCCAGGGGAGTGAGTGTCAGAGCCAGAGCTAGAGGCCAGAACTGTCTGACGTTAAAAGTTCATGAGTGGGGCTGGGCGCAGTGACTCACACCTGTGATCCCAGCACTTTGGGAGGCCGAGGTGGGCGGATCACCTGAAGTCGGGAGTTCGAGACCAGCCTGACCAATGTGGAGAAACCCTACATCTACTAAAAATACAAAAAAAAAAATTAGCTGGGTGTGGTGGTGCGCACCTTTAATCCCAGCTACTTGGGAAGCTGAGGCAGGAGAATTGCTTGAATCCGTGAGGTGGAGGTTGTGGTGAGCTGACATCGCACCATTCCACTCCAGCCTGGGCGACAAGAGCAAAACTCCATCTCAAAAAAAAAAAAAAAAAAAAAAAAGTTTATGAGCAGATCCACTGCCTGGGGTTACGTGATGTAGACTCCAGTTTCCCTTCCCCTAAGGGGATCTGGGCTTTTACCCTCAGTTATATGTGGAGAAGAAGTTTTATTCTTTGGAAAGGGACTCCATGCACCAGCAAACAGGTAGGGGTAAAGATGAATATAACCTTCACCCTGACCCTGAAATTGAAGAATGCAGAAGCTCGAACCCATAGGATGCCCAGATTGGCCCTGGAGCCCTGCCTCTAATTTACTCCGGTGGGTCTGGCCTCACTCAGACCACCTTGGCTCTGTGGGAGAGGAACGAGGCTTGTCCATCTGTCTTTCACCTTAAACTTACCTCCTCAAAGACGTGTATTCCCTTTTCTTAGAGCAAAGATCTCCACCCTGAAGCACCAACTCACCCCAAAATGTTCGTATTTGTTGGAAGCAGTTTAGAAACGACATTGTTCAGCGATTTCCCAGCGTCCTGGACCTTCTGCTTGGCCAGTTGCCAAGCGGCAGATTGCTGAAGCACCCCTAGGTCCACCTTCAGTTTCTCCGGGACGCCTGCCAAAAACAATCGCCGTTTTGTGTCACGCGCCACTTGCGAAGTAGCTACGATGCCCCAGGTATCTACTGGGTGAGACTGTTTGCTCATGTTATTTTATTTAAACTTTATAACAGCTCAGTGAGGTAGATATTGTCATTGTCAACTATTTTACAGCTAAGGAAATAAAGGCTCAAGATGGTTAAGAAATGTGTCTAGTCACACGGCCAGGGAACTCTTGTTTCTTCCATGCTGCCTCCAAACTATTAATAAATATACTGGTTATTTATCAACAGTGCAATCAATCAATTGGCCAGGCAATTGATATTTATTGTACACCAGTGTCTAGGAGTGACTTAGGGGTCTGTTGTGCTAACTGAGATGCTCACATGAGCTCGAAAAACTAGAAAGAATAAGAGAATACACTCAAGAAATGAAAAATCTAGAATCAAGGAGAAAAAATGACTCCAACCGTGAAATAGCAGATGAGAGCTCCAGAATGACAGCTTTGCAGCAGGCCCAGAAAGCAATGATTCTTTTTTTTTCCTTTTACTTTAAGTTCTAGGATACATGTGCAGAATTGTGCAGGTTTGTTACATAGGTATACATGTGCCATGATAGTTCGCTGCACCTATCAACCCATCATCTAGGTTTTAAGCCCCACGTGCATTAGGTATTTGTCCTAATGCTCTCCCTCCCCTTGCTCCCGAGCCTCCAAAAGGCCCCAGTGTGTGATGTTTCCTTCCCTGTTCCCATGTGTTCTCATTGTTCAACTCCTACTTATGAGTGAGAACATTCGGTGTTTGGTTTTCTGTTCCTTTGTTAGTTTGCTAAGGATGATGGTTTCCAGATTCATCCATGTCCCTGCTAAGGACATGCTCTCATTCTACTTTATGGCTATGTAGTATTTCATGGTGTATATGTATCATATTTTCTTTATCCAGTCTATCATTGATGGGCATTTGGGTTGGCTCCATGTCTTTCCTATTGTAAATAGTACTGCAGTAAACATATGTGTACATGTGTCTTCATAGCAGAATGGTTTATATTCCTTTGGATACATACCCAGTAAGGAGATTGCTGGGTCAAATGGCATTTCTGGTTCTAGATCCCTGAGGAATCGCCACACTGTGTTCCACAGTGGTTGAACTAATTTACACTCCCACCAACAGTGTAAAAGCGTTCCTATTTCCCCACAGCCTTGCCAGCTCTGTTGTTTCCTGACTTTTTAATAATTGCCATTCTTACGGGTATGAGATGGTATCTCATTGTGGTTTTGATTTGCATTTCTCTAATGATCAGTAATGATGAGTTTTTTTCATATGTTTGTTGGCTGCATAAGTGTCTTTTTTTTGAGAAGTGTCTGTTCATATTGTTTGCCCACTTTTTGTTGGGGTTGTTTGTTTTCTTCTTGTAAATTTAAGTTCCTTGTAGATTCTGAATATTAGACTTTTGTCAGATGGGTAGATTGCAAACATTTTCTCCCATCCTGTAGGTTGCCTGTTCACTCTAATGCTAGTTTCTTTGGTTGTGCAGAAGCTTTGCAGTTTAATTAGATCCCATTTGTCAATTTTCCAAGCTTACGGAGAGGAAGAATCAATATTGTGAACGTTGCAATTCTACCTAAAGTAATTTTTACTTTCAATGCTATTCCCATCAAACGACCATCGACTTTCTTCACAGAATTAGAAAAAACTACTTCAAATTTCATATGGAACCAAAAAAGAGAACGTATAGCAAGACAATCTTAAGCAAAAAAAACAAAGCTGGAGGCATCATGCTACCTAACATCAAACTATATTACAAGGCTACAGTAACCAAAACAGCATGATACTGGTACCAAAACAGACATATAGGCCAATGGAACAAAACAGAGACTTCAGAAGTAACACCACACATCTACAACCATCTGATCTTCAACAGACCTGACAGAAACAGCAATGGGGAAAGGATTCCCTATTTACTAAATGGTTCTGGGAAAACTGGCTAGCCATATGCAGAAAACTGAAACTGGACCCCTTCCTTACACCTTATACAAAAATTAACCCAAGATGGTTTAAAAACTTAAATGTAAAACCCAAAACCATAAAAATCCTAGAAGAAAACCTAGGCAATACCATTCAGGACACAGGCATGAGCAAAGACTTCATGACACCAAAAGCAATTGCAAAAAAAGGAAGCAGTAATTCTTATAGGAGGAGGAGGACAACATGTCTTATGATAGGTCTCTGGAGAACAGGGGGATGAGAATAAATGTTGTGACCTGGTGTGGTGGCTCATGCCTATACTCCCAGCACTTCAGGAGACCAAGACAGGAGGATGGCTTGAGGCCAGGAGTTCGAGACCAGCCTGGGCAAAATGATGAGACTCCATCTCTACAAAAAATGTAAAACTTAGCCAGGTGTGGTGGTATGCACCTATAGTCCCAGCTACTGGGGAGGCTGAGGTGGGAGGATCAGTTGAGCCCAGGAGGTTGAGGCTCCCAGAGTACTCTAGCTTGGGTGACAGAGTGAGACCTTGTTTCAAAAAAGAATAAATGTCATGGTCGATATAGGATGATGCCCATGAAAAGAATTAAGCACACATGGGGAGAAAATAATTCAACTGAGAAACAACAGGGCAATTACTAACTTAAGGAAAAACCAAAAACTATATAAGGAAAGAGATGTAATCATAATGTTGTAACTTGGCTCTGTCATGGACAGTATCTACCTAGCTGCAATGATTGGGAGAATGACGCTTTAAATAAAATTGGTGATATAACTACATCTGATTGTACAGCTCACTAGGGTGACCTTGGTTTAGACATTTCTGACTCTGGGTCTCAGGTGTCCCAGCTATAAAATTAGAGTGAGTCCTTTCTGCATCTTTGAAAGTTACCTAAGTCCTTGACAAGGTTTGAAAGGCACCATGTGCAGAAGTTACCTCCTCCTACCAAAACTGCTTTTGATATGCTGCTAATGTTTCCACAAAACTAAAAGAAAGCCAAGTTATTTTAATGTTAGCATAAAAAGGAGATATAATTAAATATAAAGGTAGGTAGCCTTACAGATACTGAGGTTAGGTCGGGATAATTTCCCTAATTTTCACTGAATTAGCACGAGTGAATAAAAGAACCCCCAAAGAAAAATATGCTAAGAATACACAAAATACTCAAGTTAAAATATGTAAGTACACAGTAAATATATGAAAAAGGAGAGGGTTCTTTTATAATTAGAGGAATGCAAAGTGAAATAAGTTATCACTTTTCATCTGTGAGACTGGCAGGGCATGTAAAATTGTCCATACCCAGTGCTGGAAAGGGATTGGAAAAAAAGGCACTCTTGTAGACTGTCAGAGAAAGTGTTAACATAGGAGATTATTTGTCAACAGCGTAGTTTTTGAACTTGTGAAATCCCACTTATAGGAATTTACCTTATGTGTATATTGGCAAACGTTTATCAGGATATAATATGTAGAAGGATATTCACGTGGCATTGCTTGTTCCTAGAAAGATAAACGAATCAGCCAGGAATTGAATAGCCACTTTTCTCAGTAAACCACCCATAAAGAGTAGCCCCTGGTGGCAGCCTCTGGTAATGCAGGCATAGTGTTTAGGAGGCTAATTTAGGTGACACTGATCATCACACTTGTTGATTTACCTTTAAGAGTATTGTCAATTGTCTTAAGTCCTTCGTCAAGAACAGGTTTCTGCTCATCCACGACATTGCTCAGGTCATCACCAAGATTGCCAAGAAGAGACGCTGAGGTCCCAGTGAGCAGGCTGCACAGGAGAACAAGTTTCCAAAGCTGAAGCATCTTTTGTCTTGACACCTGGACAGTCATGAGAAGAACAGGAGTGAGAATTGCCCAGGGAGAAATGGAATCTTCAATGAGTTCCAATCACTCCTAACATTTAACATTCCTTTAAGACAGATGTGGTTATTTCCTGTTTTACGAATGGGCAGCCAAGGTCAGAATGTTACAGCAACTTGCCCAGAGACACATGGCCAGTGAGCAGAGGAGCTGGGATTTGAAAAGTCAGACTTGACTCCAAGCCCATACTCTTGATACAAAGTTCCTTTTCACACGCTGTCTTCTCTGCCTAAAATATTTTTCTTCTTCATTTTTCCACGTTGGTCAATTCCTACATCATGCCCTCTGTGAAGCCTACTCTAGGCCCCTACCCAGATTCTAGGTTGGGGGAGTCTCACCTTGCTGTCTTCATTATCCTGATCAAGGTCCTGGGTAACACTTCCCTGATGATTTGTCTGCCTTTCCTACCAGGCTGACAAAGGGGAAGGATTTAGGGGAAGGACTGTAACTTATTTCACTGTCAAATCCTCAGGCCCCAGTAAAAGCCTGCACCTAGTACAGTACAGTAAACAAATATTGAACAAACCAATGGCAACCACCTCATGACTCTGCACTGCTCATCAGTTTGACACTTATTTTAATACAATCTATAGATATCTAAATTTGCTCTGATTTGCTATTTATCTTGACATCTGGACAGTCATGGGAGGAATAGTAGTGAGAATTGCCCAGAGGGAAATGGAATCTTCAGTGAGTACTCATCACTAATTTGTTGTTTAGAGCAAATTTAGAGCTATATTGATTATCTCTGCCGTACTCAAAATATTAGCTAACCCAAGCAACCCGCCCCTCTGCCTCTAGCCCCCAAAGCCTTCTGAAAACCACCATGTGGGACACCACTGGGGGAAGCATGGCACTCACGGGTTTAGAGGAGGATGCTCACGAGATCCTTTCCCCGCTGCGCAGTCTGCCGGGACTCTGCTGAACATTGGTGGCCCTTATATGGTGGTGATGGGATGGAAGACTGCCCACAGAAACAAGCCTTGGTTCCGGGACCATCCAAGGATACTCCAAGGAAACTAACCCCTCTCCAGGATGAGCAGAGAGAGATTTCCAACCCAAAGGTCAACCAGGATGCTTGAATTTAAATGGATGGTTATGGAGAGGGCTTTCTGCCAAGACTAAGAGCAGGTCCTCATGGAGCCTGCAGCTGCCAAGCCGGTGGTCCTTGTGGGTGGGGACTGGGGAGAAGGCTGAGAATGAATGAACTGGAGAATGTCCTGGCAGGAGGACCCATAATGACCATCCAGTCTAACTCTGTCATCATTTGGAAACTGAGGCTCAAAGAAGGGAAGCTACCAGCCTGGGGTCATTCATCAAGACAAGGACAGAGATGTGTCTGAACTGTGGCCTGCGCGGAGTCAGGTGGATCTCCGAGTGCATAGGGTCCTGCCCCCGGGGTCTGCACCCAGCAGGTGCAGCAGACATCTGGCAGCTGTTCGTGCCTGACACTGGGCTTGGTGTCCCTAAAGTGCACTCTAGATGCGCTTTCCTGTTAGTCCTTATGAAGACTCTGCAAGGCAGGTTTTGAGAACTCCATTTTGCAGTTGAGGAAGCTGAAGTTCAGAGAAGGAGGTGGCTTGTCCACACTTGCAAGGACAGGAACCAGGCATCTGGGCCCCCAGGAAAGGCCCTTCCATGCATATCAGGCTGAGGTCATTTGGCAGAGCGGGAGAGTCCCTGGGCCTGAACATCCTGTTTTTGCTTTGGCCACTGATGTTTGCGTTGGTTGTAACGCCTGCTGCATTGGGCCTGTGTCAAGCCGGAACAGCACAGGAACCTCAGGTGGGTGGCCACCTGGCCTCAGGCTGGGAAGGACTGGCACAGAGCTCAGGGTCATCATGGATCTCTGCCCTTCTGCTCACCCACCTGCCACTTGGCAAGGAACTGGGAAGCCTGTCTTCAAAATGATGCAACCAGGCAAAGGGTGGGACAGGAGCGGTGGCTCGAGGAGCTGGCTGTTCCTACGCCGACCATGGCTCCGCTGTTCAGCACGGAGCTAGCAGCTGCAGGGAGAAGGTGATGATGGCCAGGCCCCAAGAGCCCAGCCCATTAGAGCCCTGCGGCAGCCTTGCCTGAGGTCTTGAACAGACTCCCTTTCCTGGCTTCCTGACACCGGGTTCTGCAAACATCTGAGCCCCACTCTTCCCCCAGTTGTGAAGTACAGAGCCAAGGGCTATGCTGAATTCTGTGAAGGCAGCCCAGCCCAGGAACCTAGCCCAGGGGCTAAGCATCATGCAGTGACCTCAAGACCCAGTGTTGGCCCAGGCCTCAGTTGCCTCATCTGTAAAATGGATAAACTCCCTGTCCCTGGATTTCAGAGGCGTGGTGGACAGGCAAGGGCCTAGGAAATCGAAATGATCGTGAGGGGCTTTGAGGGCAGTGCTCCAAGCCTGGCACTGGGCTTGGGCTGTCCTGAGCTTGAATACTTGTTCTCTGCTGGTTGCTGTGTGGCCTGAGCCAGAGACTGCACCTTGCTGAGCCTCAGGCTCTTTGTGAAATGGGACTAAGAACAGTGCCCACCTCACAAGCATACTGTGAGGTCAAAGTGGAGTAACGCCCACGAAGGCTTAGCACGGGGTAGGCCCTCCATGCGCGGCAACAGCAAAGATGGCGAAGATGATGCTGGTGAATATGCGCACATGTGGTCCTGGCTTACGATGGTTTGACTTCAGTCTTTCGACTTTGCCATGGGTTTATTGGAACATAACCCCATTATAAAATGAGGAGCATCTGGCCGGGCGCGGTGGCTCATGCCTGTAATCTAGCACTTTGGGAGGCTGAGGCGGGCGGATCATCTGAGGTCAGGAGTTTGAGACCAGCCTGGCCAACATGGCGAAACCCTGTCTCTACTAAAAATACAAAAATTAGCTGGGCGAGGTGGTGGGTGCCTGTAATTCCAGCCACTTGGGAGGCCAGGATAGGAGAATCACATGAATCTGGGGGGTGGATGTTACACTGAGCTGAGATTGTGCCACTGCACTACAGCCCGGGCAAAAGAGCGAAACTCTATCTCAAACAAAAATAAAATTAAATAAGGAGCATCTGTCATAAGATTAATATTACATAATATATAATACAGGGTCCTTGGTGGATGGGGAGGTTGGTACCCTCAGAGGTCACCAAGTTTCAGGCCAGCTGGTCCGGGTCGTTCAGGAAGGAGAAGCAGTGACAGCTCCTCCTGTGTTCTCCTCCTCCTCCTCTTCCCTCTCCAGGGTACACAAAGCCTCCTTACATGGAAGATGTTTGCCTCTCAGGGACAAAGGCCCAGCCATGAGGGTCGTGAGATGAATTTCTTATTGAAAATTTCCAGCGAGGCATTAAAGATTAGCTGTGCCAGGAATGAGACATCCTACCCCCAGCATGACTGCTAATCCCCAGCTGAGGCCGCTTCCTGGTCCCACTGACCCAGCCTTCACCTCCAAGCTGATATCTTTTTCCATACATGGCTCAGTGCCCTGGCTGGAAAGGGCCTAGCATGTCATGCAGCCTACTGAGACCAGAGAAGATGAGTGACAAGGCTGGGGTTGCACAGGTGGCTAGCCAGGCTGGGGTATGCTCAACTGACCAGGCTCTGCCCCACTGACCTTCCTCCTGCCGCGGACAGATGCAGCCCCCACCCCTTCTCCAGATACCAAATACACATAGGTACACTTCCATCCCACCGTCAAATGGAATTGCCTTATTTTGCTGGTAAAATTGCTGAAAGGCTTGTCACCATTTTGCTTGTGAAATCTGTCAGGTACGAATCACCCCTCCAGTTTCTAGGAGGTCCTAGTTTCTCACACCTGAAATGCCTACTCAGGAATTCTGGGCAAATAAGAAAGATCAAAGCAACAAAATGTGTTCACAAGTTACTGTCCTTCCTATGACCGCTAAATAGAGCAATTAATAACGTTGTCACAATGTTACAGTCTGAAGACCTTTAATTTTGACTTTGCCGGGTTTTTTCCTTCTGATTTTGGAGTGACACATTTTATTCTTTCAGCTCTCAAGTATTTCCTGAAACCCCAGATTCCACATCTGGACACTAACAGACCCCCCTCAGGTCCTGCCCTGAGAATCCGGGGAGCCACTTCCCGTGGCCTGACCGATGGGCAGGGGGCTTTGCCCGTGAGGCTAGAGTCTTCTTCCTTCTGCTCCATGGCATGCTCCCTGAATGCTTCACCCAAAACTCCCGGAGAAAATGTAAAGGAGTCTTCACAGGTCAGGGTCCTCCCCTGTCACCAGGTCAGGGTCCTCCCCTGGGTCCTTTGAAGTCTGGGCACCTTGTCTTTTTTCACCTTTGTTCCCCCAGAGCTGGCACAGGGTGTGGACTACAGCAGGAGTCAAATGATGTTTGTGGCAGGAAAGAAGGAAGAAAGAAAGAAGAAAGAGAGAGAAGGAAGGAGGAAAAGAGAGAGAGGAAGGAAAGAGAGAGGGAAGGAAAAAAGACAGAGAGGGGATGTGGAGAGAGAAGGAGAAGACGAGGAGAGGGAGAGGAGAAGGGAGGGAGGGGGGCCAGCCATGTCCCACCAGTCCCACTCTAGGGCAAGACCACACCATCTCCAAGATCCCAGTACCCAGCACAGGGTCTGGTTCAGCTCATGCTTATTGCCTTTCTGTCTTCCTCAGGCGGGCGGGCGGGCCGGCCTCGTGACATGAGCAAGCTGCCGGGTCCCTCCCTGTTCTTACCTCACTCCCTGGAATTTGACCCCTCAATCTGTCTGTGTCCTGCCTCATCTTCCAGATCCTCGCTGCTGGAGTGGGCCTGGCCCTGCACTTAGTCATCTGTCCATTTATTCATTGTTCATACACTTCACAAGTGCATTATAGGCATGAGCCACTGCGCCTGCTCAAGCACTGCCATTTATATTCAATCGTCAGAATTCCCAGGGCCGTGTGAGTCCTGATTCATCTCCACTGCCCTAGCACCCCCAGCCCCAAGCCTGTGTCAGGGGAATCCCTTCATA